TTAAAGAGAGAAATTCATCGCAACTTACCTATGATCCTGAGATCCAGCAGATGTGATCCATTCAAGTTCAAGCCCTCTCTTTTCCCTTTTTATAGACCTGACGATGGATTTGTTTATCAAAATTATTCACCAGGTAATAATGTGTCAAATTACTTCCTGATAGCATTCAAATGTGGTTAGACTTTGCCACTGCTGACTGTTAGAATACTGTTCCAAACAAAACAATAGTTCTCAGAAATGAAGGCAAATATATGTGTCCCAGGATAATGTTGCGAGATCCAATCTGGGTCGGTCACTGGGACCAGATGTTTAGTCTTCTGAGCTTTTGGACTCGTGCTGAAGCTTCTCACACATTGTTCTATAGATGGCATTTAGCATCGGCGAGATTGGCTAAGATATATAAAAATATGAATCCGGACTGTTGGAAATGTAAAAATAAAGAGGGAACATTTTATCATATGTGGTGGCAATGCCCCAAAGCAAAGACTTATTGGGAACAGATAAGGAGATGGATACAGGAAATAACAAAAGAACAAATTGAATTTAAACCCGAAATATTCCTATTAGGCATAATCAATCCAAAGATGGAAAAACAACTTCAATACATCATTATACACATAATAATGCGCATATGCGCAATCATTATACACATAATAATGCGCATATGCGCAATGCTGGAAAAGGGAAAATATACCAACAAATGTAATGATTATTTAGATACTAGAATGTGCTGAGGTGTACAAACTTACTCTAGAAATAAAAGACAAGGAAGTTACAGAATTTTATGAGATATGGGATAGGTATTACAATTGGTTAGAATTGAGGAATAAAAAAGTATGAGAAGTAATGTAAATAAGTGTAAATAAATGTAAGAGATATAGGACATAGTATTGTTAAGAAAAAAGAAAAATGTACTTTGTATTTTGTTTTTTTGTAAAGAGTAAAAGAAAAAATTAAAATTAAAAAAGAGAGAGAGAGAAGTTCCCTCCAGCACAAGTCCAAAAGCTTGAAAAACTAAACTTCTGATCATGGCGACCGATCCAGATTGGATTCTGCAGAACAATAGTTGCTGCTTTGTAGAAGTATCCTTGGGTTGTGATATGGAAAGTAGAGGGATGGATGTTTGGGGGAAGCATC